TCAAAAAAATTGAATTTTTGGGCGTAAATTTCCGTGGGTCCCGTTTGTGTTACGGAAATTTACGCCCCGAAAAATTTCCTGATGATATTTTTCCTTGAATTTTAATTGTGAAACAATAAATATATATTTTATATATAACAATTATTTATTAACGATCTGCTTGTTACTGACTTAAAAGACTACAAAATTTCAATTTTGCAAATGATCTTGTATTTTGATATATAATTCTGCATATATTGTCTTTTGATTTCAGACAATAATCACAACTATTAACTACTACAAAACAATTAATATATTAGATAAATAAATACATTTGTTTATAACTATAAATACAATAAGTTTCTTGATACAAAAAAAATAGAAATTCATTACTTCAAAAAAATAAATATAATATAAACACTTTTAAATTAAGTTTTGTATCTTTTATATAATATAACAGATATCTTTTAAAACTTATGTTATTTTCTGTTTTTAAAGTATTCAAACTTTTAGAATGGAAAGGCAAAATACAATCTTCTAGAATTTCCTTAGAATACTGATTTTAATAATATCAATTTCATGTTTAGAAATTATGTCACTACTATCACCACCACCATCACTATTATCACTACTACCACTATCACCAGATATATCAAATGTATCTATATCAGATTCTCAAACTTTAAATATAAATATCTTCTCTCAGAATTCAACTATTGCCTTATTTCAAACATTGAAAATTTCAAGAGATTCAGATTGTGTTCCTTACTAAAGTGATCAAGTTACAAAATGGTCAAAGAAATTGTAATTGTCTATAGAGAAAAGTTCAATTATAATTTCTTCAAGTTTATTTTCAAGTTCACCTTCAAGTTCATCTTCAAGTTCATCTTCAAGTTCATTTTCAAATTCATTTTCAAGTTTACCTTCAAGTTCAATAGTAAAAAGGATATTGTTTTCTCAAAAAACAATTCAACAAATAAATAAAAATTATCTTCTCCATTAATACAGTTTTCATTTGCTAAAAATATTCCTTCAGATAAATATTTTATTTTTTATATTAAATTATATATAATATAACTATAGATCTTTGATTCATCTAGTTTCAAAATTATATATTACTATATAAATTATAATAGATTAAATAGATTATTATTTAAATGTTACAAATTTTATTTTTGTAATAAGTAATTAAATAAACAAATTTTAATTTAATTTGATTTATTCAAATACAGATGAAAATAAAAACAAGACAAAAAGCAAAAAACATAAGAAAATACAAATAATATAACAAGTTAATACAGAATTTCAATTTTAGCTAATTTATAATATAAGATGTAATAGAATAGTCAATTTTTAGCTAGTATATAACACTAGTCAAATACAAAAAAATCTCTGTACCAAATGATAATTTCTATATTAAAAATCAGAATTTCTATACTATAGATTAACTAAAAATTAGTAAAAATCAACTGTCCTATTACATCTTATATTATAAATTAGCTAAAATTGAAATTCCTTTTCAGTATGACATATCTTTTGTATTTGACCTGTATAATATAGGAATTTCAATTTTTAACTGATATATAATATAAAAATTACTATTCAGTATAGTAATTCCTTTGTATTTGCATTAGAAATTAAATAAAAATATTCTACAACACTATATAAATCCCATTTTATAGTATTATTCAAATGACACTAACATACTAGAATACAATTTTCTAGTGTATTATTTAAACATTTCATATTAATAGCATACTAAATACATTGTTCTAGTGTATTATTTAAATGTTTCATATTTATAGTATACTAGAACACAATATTCTAATATATTATTTAAATATTTTGTATTTATAATATACTAAAATTGATGTTTTTAGTGCATTATTTAAACATTTTATATTTACAGCATAATAGAATGTCTCTATAAAATTCATGATGTATATGTAGTTATGATTACTGATTTTATATATATTTTAATAATTTTACACTTTTATATATAATATTGAATTATACCATATATAAAATTAACAATTGTAGCTACATATAAAAATTTTTAATTTTATAATTAAATTGTAAAAACATTACTAAGCAAATCTATAGTTAAGAAAGAAGTGCACCTACTGAAAAATGTTTAAACATAAAGCTTGCAAATTAAGGGAAAAGTAAGTATTTAAATTTTGAACACAGTCAAAATTTAAATGTCCATCTTTCCTTTAATTTGCAAGCTTTAGGTCTAAAATTTTTTCAGTAGGTGCACTTCTTTCTTAGATATGAGTTTACTTGGTAACATTTTTGATATTTTACTAATAAAAAAAGTAAAAATTATTGATTTTTCTTTTTTTATTATCAAAAATCATTCTTACTTGATATTTATCTACAATTGGCCACAGAAATATTGGTGGTAAGGATATCAATCATATTTTTTGCCTAGGTTGTACTCTTGATACCTTCATTTCACATCACTAAAGTACTATCAATTCTATGAAATGTGCTCAAGCACATGCAAAAAAATGAATTAGAAATTTAGTAGATGAAATGCATTAAAAAACTGCATTGTGGTTAACTCAAACTTTTGATACAATTGTTTTACCAAAATTTGAAGAAAAATTAATAGTAAGACAGGGATCAATTGATATCTAAAGCAGAAGAACCTGGTAAAATTGTAATAACTTCTGTATCTGAAGCTTATACAAGTAAAACTTGTAGTAATTGTAAATATATCAAGGGAAATTTGGGTGGAAATAAAATAATTAAATGTGATAGGTGTAAACTTCAGATTTAAATGGCGCCGGGGAATTTTTCTCCAGGCTGTATCTAAAAATTTTTGAAAAGATCAACATAGAAGTTTAGGCTGGAAACAATTATCACAAACAAGGGAAGAAAAGGTCGCACGATGGGAGACGTTATTAAAAAATATAAGACAGAAGAACTTATCGACTATTTGCGGAGGCAGGAAGACTTAGATCTCAACGAATCATTTCAAAATCTTGCGAAAGGAGGAAATCTCTGGTCTTGACTTTCTTGAGTTAACAAAGGAGGACTTTCGTAGTATTGGCTTTGCTTTAGGTCTGGCTACAAGATTTTCAAAATTTATTTCGGATCTCAAAGAGCAAAAGATACGAAGTTTCTCTTCATACAAAACTCTGGATGAGTTAAAAGACGCTCTCCACAAGTATAAAGTCAACGGTGAGGATATTACGTGCATCAAACAATTCAATCCCGGGTATGTAATATTTTATTTTTTGTGACAAAGCGATCGAAAATTCCAGATATATAATAATTTATTTTTTCGTTGTATAGTTTTTGAGGGAATCGATGACGATCATAAAGCGCTCGAGAAGTGTTTGGATGAAATTGCATTAGACTTTCGAATCTGGAAACAATGCAACCTAATGCCAATGAAGATACACGTTGTGTATTTATTACATTACATTAAACGCATCTCTGGCTATTATCCGAAGACTTACCAATGAAGAAAAATCTACATATCATATCAAAAAGGAGTTTCCGGCGAGGAGGCATCTGGACGTGTCGATTATGCAATAAAAGGAAACAAAGATCTTATGTGGATAGCTGAAGGAAAACCTCGTAATGTTGAAATCGGTTACCTTCAGAATATCATGCAACTTGAGAGTGCTTACCACACAAATAAGAAAAAACGTACGGCGGATCAAGCTTTTCGAGATGATGATTATGACTATCTTTACGGAATAGTCTCTACAGGTATTGATAGATTCTAGAATTTTTGATTTATAGTCTTTATTAATTTTTTTAGCCACGGAATGGCATTTCATCACCTTTGCCACCGATGGCCTTTATTGCACCAGTAAAAGCGAATATCAAATTAATTTACCCAAAACGGCATTGAAAGAAGATCTTGACTCTATTCGAAAAGGAGTGAAATAGGTGATGGGTGTTGTTGTGGGGCTATTAAAAGACCGAATTAGTGTGGATAATTCTCTAGCCAGTAAAAGAGCCTGAATCAAAAAATTTACAAGAGAATAGGGGTCTCGCAGATAGTTTTCTCGTATTTACATGTATACGGAATAAATGTACTATACTAATAAAAAAAAGTGATCAAGAATTTTTTCTTGGCATCGGCGTGATCTTTATTTTTTTTAATTGTTTCGAAAAATATCGAATTAAAACAGAGACGTCAACGTCTACAAAATTTAGATGCATTAAATTGCGGGATTTATAATTATTTTATTTTTGCAGTACCAATTTATCATAAACAATCGTGTTTAGTTTTTTGGAATTTTATTAAATTATGAATCACGCAGGAAAATCCTTATTAAAATGAATCTTAACCATTAAATATCCTTCCGAAGTTTTGTAGTAAAAAAAAAGTGAATCAGAAATAACCTTAATTAATATATATACGATTTACCCAATTAAGTTGCGGGATCTTTTAAACAAGAACTTGGTCATTTCTCGGGTGCCAATTTACATTATTAAGTACAGGTGACTTACGTTTAACTGTCTGAAAGGCCTCAAGATCGCTTCTTGGGTATTACATAACTTTGGTATCTGAAATTATCATACATATCATCCGACACAATAAAATACAAAAAATTTTTGTGTTCGAATTCCTCCTATATTCTTGCATATTTTGAACTAATTTGATCAGTTCACTTTGCTTCACGGGGTGTTTTTGAGACACAGTAATTTGAAAGATACAGTCAGGCGTAAGAATTAGATCTACCGCACTGAAATTTCTTATAGTTGGTCTGATAATTATGTCGTTTTTATTATGACTTGCATGTCAGATATACTTCGTAGTTGGATTTGTTGCTACAGTCAAATTCTTATAACTTATTTGATCATTCTAATAATGAAAAAGGCATGGGTAATCTTTTCTCAATTATCATTGGAAATAATTATGCAAAATTTTAACTCGTTTTCTCGAAGTCTCCTTGATTCGAACGTTTGACCACCGAGCTTGAAGAGGTGGAGTACATATGACTCAAGCATAATCTCTCTAGAACTGAAAGGGTCATGAGGACTTTTAATTTTTATAAATAGATTGCTCCATCTACTATCCTCAAGTTTTTCCTGGATTTTATCAAAAATGCGACCAGAGGTCCATGAGAGGGATTGTTCTCGGTAGAAAGTGTCAGCCCAACGGTAAATAAGGCGACTGCTGAATTCAACATATTGTCCGTCTTCGGAGAAGCACTGTATAAGCTTTCCGAAATTGCTAATTTCTTTAAGAGCTTCTTCAACACGTTCTAAATATCTTTTCTTAATCACATCCCGATTATTGAAAATGGCTAATTGATTCTTGGTATTGGGATTTTCCTGACAAATAATAGTTGCTGGTGTCTTTAAAACGTATCTTGGCACACCACCTACCTCGTCATTGAGGTCAAACATCAAATCATGTGGTACATCCGGGAAGATATTTAATCGACAGGCTTCCAATTCTTCTGTTGACCATGGTGGCATACAAAATTTATTTACAATTCTTGACGAACTCTTGTCTTTGATGCTTTTCGATGATGCAGGAACCACTGTTCTTGCTTCGACATCCGCGGGAGCTATACCATCCATTAGGTACCATGTTTTGGAGTCATAGAGTTGCTCCGAAAATTCTTTAAAGTGTCCAACGGAGAGATTTGAACCATTGAAACAGTATAATAAATTGGTTTCAATTTCAAATAGACGAAAAATGACGGTGGCATTGGTTTTATTGCACAATAGCCGGATTAATAAATAAATCAAGAAACACATCAGATGTGCCAGATATGAGGAGCTTGGGATTGCAATTCTCATAAGTAATCATGCGATAAATATCTTTGTAAGATTCCCTCACATATAGTACGTGTTCCTTTACCATTGCAAGTGGTCTTTTATCAGGATGCATGATCAAATCTGTGTTAATTGGAGTAAACTCTTCCCGCTCTGTTTCCGGTTCTTCTGATATTGTTTCGATGTTATCTCGTAAACTTTTCGGAGTGTTTTCCTGAGATTAAGGATCACTTCCAATATGTTATTAAATGATGGATCTAATAAAGTAAATTAAAGAAGTCATTTGCTCAGATTGTTAATCCGCAAAAAGTTTCGACAGCTCATGTGATAAAAACTTACTTCCTAATTTTGGTTTTTTAACTGAATGAAAACGCAAGAGTAAGAATTAAGGAAAATAATGATAACGAGAAAAACAGAGTAGGTTTGGGAGACGAAAACGAAACACTTGCGTTAGCTAAATTCCTCACTTACCGGTGGCAAGAGACAATGACATGGATATGCCTCTTAAGTGGCTTATCGGTCCAATAGTCTTCGATATCTCGGGTCGCGCGGAGTTCAATACTGCCTTGGCCTAAAGGGTCTGTCAAATCGTTACTTTTATCTGGTATTTCCACTTTCCACAGCCTGAGCTTTTCAGCATCAACTCTACCAAACTCAATGGGCTTCTTCTCCTTGATCGCGTCTTTGAGATGACCGACAAGTTTGTTCCTATCAATACAAACAGGGAAAGCGTCATCCGCTGATGTATTTCCTTTGATAAGGCATACCAAAGTGATAGACATTGCGAAGTAAATGAAGTATTTTGATAATGAGGTTCGATCGTTATCATCGTTATAATATGTGATTACGCATGTAGACGATCGGCAAAAAAATACTTATAATACACTTTTATATAAAAATTTTTACCGGTTGTCTGCTTAAACATCCTTCCAAATTCACGAACATTGCTACACCAATAACACATTTCACTCCACCTTCTCGCATATATGTTCGAAGCCAGAAAAGTTGATATATCGGATGTGTAGTCATATTATATTGTTTTCCACTTATCTCCTGAAATCCCACCTGCTATTTCGAAGCCAGAGAAAATACAGAATGTGGTGCTAAGAAGAAAAACGATAATTATTTATACCTCGCAAGTGGACAGCACGATTGAAGGAGGGTAATGTTCGTATATTTAATTGATGATTCGATCAGATCCTGCAACCAGAAATAATCAATAATTTTTATTTTTGGAGAAAGTTCCGAACATGCAATTAAGGTGCGAATATTTCAGTTGACAATGAATCAACTTGGACTTGCAAACTAATGACTATTCTTTCGTACAGATTTCCGAGAAATTTATTAGCATTGCAGAAGGCAGGCAACATAAACTTTCAACAGGTTTTTGCTTTTTTTTTTCTCAGGTTCGAAAAAAAGATAAATTAGTTAACTGCCAGATAACGGATAACCAGAAATACAAACTCACTTTTTCTTTCGTTGATTACTCAAAATGCGCAGTAAATAAGTGGAAACGGGCCGTGATTATGTAAGCAATTATATGATTTATGCAAGTTGATTAGTATAGTTAACTATAGTTGATCAATTCAATTCATCCGGACAATTACTTGTTGAAAACATTGTTTCTTTATTAATTAATATTAATAATCTTATTTATATATTTATTATTTTTTTTTACTCATCATCATCAACTAGTTTTTTTAATTCAATGAAATATTTTAATTTTTCAGATTTTTGATAATGCTTAACTCTAGCACTTGTAGAAGGTATTAAAAAAATTTTGGTGAATTGATTTTCAGTTACAAATTTTTCATCTTTTTCATCTTTTTCAATTTGATCTTTCATGTTATTATTATTATCATCATCATTCCAAAATATTTTTAAACATTGTAACCCAAAATTTTTAGATTTTTCTATATTAGGTGTTCGATAAACTTTCTCAAATGCATCAAATCCACATTTTCCTATAAAACACAAAAATTTTGGTTTATATAATTTTACTTTTCTTATTATAGATGGAATTCCATTTCGTAATTCGGCTGGAGATAAATCCTTTATTTTATAAATATATATTAGTAAAAGAAGTTGTTGACAATATTTAATTTTTAATTTGAAAATATACAAGATTTAATTATGAATTATGTTTACCGCGGAAGAACGCGTATCACGACCGACAACATTACTAATTCCAATATTAAATCTTTTTGGTAAAGTCACATCATCCTTATAATTAATAATTTCATTATTTGTGAAACCACTTTCAACAAGGCATGGATAAAAATGGTTTGAATGGTGAGCAAAATGATGTCCAACTTGGGCACTTCTTTTTCCGGGATTAATGCCAACGAATAATACTGAACGAGATATCAAAATTAACAATTTTTTTTTTTTTTTAAAAAAAAAAAATGGTTCATAAGATACATGAATTATTATGAAAATTCTCTAAAATAAAGATTACTATTACCTTTTAAATTAAAATCGATAATATCAGGATTAGCCGAAGTATTAGTAGCATTAATTATTTGAATTGATTCTATTGATTCTTTACATTTTTGATATGGAGAAGTACGAGTTTTTAATTGTTTTATAATTGATGCACTTTTTTCACGTGTTTTAATAGCAGTTGAATTATCTTTATTATTATTATCTTTGATGTTCGAGGAATAAGAAAACTGGGAGAGAAATTTTTTAAATGATCGATCTTCTGGAGTAACCATTTTAAACTTTTGAAACGATCTCGTTATCATTATTTAGTAATTCATCAAAAAATTCTTATTATTAATTTCTATTTGGTAAATGTATGAGAATGTAAATCTTCATTAAACTTTTTGGATTTCATTTAATTTTTATTTTTTTCCTAAATTTAGAATAGTATATGTACGCCTCTGTCACGAGACCAATCTGATTTGATAAATCATTTACATTATTCAAAATATTAGAATATTATTAAACTTTTTTTAACGACACTTAATATATAATTTAATTTATTCATTTATTCATGGCGGTTCCAGATCTTTCAGTTAATGGAAACGATAGTTCACCTCAAACTCGTCAAGTTGCGTCTAATAAAGTTGCTTCTCGAACAAAACAACGAAATGGTTCTACACAACAACCTACTCAAGATGAGGGCTATTACCTTAAAATGACCATTACAGCATTAGATAAAAGCCGTCGCGATCCACTTTTTAAGTTTAAAGTCTTTGTACGAAACCTTTTAGAATTCATTTCAGTTCTTATTTGAATTTTCACAAAGTATTCACATTTATATATGTTTATATACTTTTTAATCAAGTCGAATTTGCCTAGGTTCAGACACTCCTCATATCACCAAGTGGAACGTTCATACGTTGAATTCGAACGATTGTATAATTCTTTAACTTATTCTAATCCAGAATGCATAGTTCCCGCTTTACCTTTCGCGACGACCAGTCATCAAACAATTGAGGAAGAAGAACGTAGGATTAAACATACGATGCAATTATGGTTGAATCGCATATCAATGAATCCTGTTTTATGTCACGATGAAGAATTAAGATCTTTTATAGAAACGGATTTTGCTGTAAGTATTCTTTAGTTAATTAATTAATTAATTCAATTTTATTTATAAATATTTCATCAATTCCTTTAATTCTTTTTTTATTTTATTTTTTATATATATATTATACAGTTTGTTCCAACCACCAGACCACGCAAAAGAACTGGTAATTTTAGATTAAAATTTTCTTCAGATGCAAAGGATGATGATTTAAAATTAGTTCAGGCCAAATCACTTGCATATTCGCTTGAAGGTCATTTTCTAGACATAGCTAAAATTACTCAAAAGTTGGGAAAGTCTCGAAAAGGTATTTTATATATATATATATATATATCAATATATTTTATATTGTCAATAACTAATTCTATCCAAATTCTATACATTTTTTTTTTATAATAACATTTATGGAATCTATTATTTTTTTTCTTTAATTTATAGCTCTGTCTCATTACAATTCAGAATTTGGAGGCAAAGCCCTTGCCATGGGTACAGTCGAAAGGCATCCTCCGTTATCAAAGTAAATTATGTTCATATTAAAATTTTAGTTATGTATGGGCGTTTTTCTTATTTTTTTTAAAAAAAATTTTTTTTTTTTTAGTGGACTTCGCAAATTAGGAAAGACACTTCAAATAATCAGTGAATTACAACAAGCACAAGCTACAGTTGAAATTGCGGTTATTGGGGATTTCTTTGGTTATTATGCAGTCAATGCACTTGTAGTCAGGGTGTGTATACATTATAAAATTCACATGACTGAGTAAAACTTTATAAATTCATGAGAGTTAATTTTTATTATTTTTCATTTATTATTATAGGAGACTTTGAATAATCGTCACAGAATAATTTCAGAACATGATAACGCGGTAAAAACCACAATAAGTAGACGACGTTATATTGAACGTTTAAAGTCTTCGACAAATATTAAATCTGAAAAAGTGGATGAAGCATTGGAAGAATTAGATGAAGTATGAATAAATTTAAACTTAAATTTATTAGAGATAATACAAAATTTTTTTATTATAACAAAATTTTTTTTAATTTTAAATTTTTAAAAAATTTTTTTTTTTTTTTTTTTGATAAGGCCAAAAATTATGAACAAACACTAGACGCACGTTCAAAGCGAGTAACGAGTAACCTTCATTCAGAGTTGAAAATTTATGAAGAAAATCGTTTTCATGATTTTATTGGAGCGATGAGAGAATACGTTAAAAAACAAATTACGTATGAAAAGCAACAATTAAAAGAATGGGAAAATCTTCGACCTGATATTAATGCCATTACAGAACGAAACGTTAAAGTACGTTTATTAACCGACGAACAACTTACTCCACGTGCCATTGCGGAGAAGCTTAGTATAATGGCTGGATAAATAACAAATTAATTGATAATTTTTACAATTATTTAAATATTTTAATATCTTTAATTAATTACTTTTAATACATTTTTCTTTTTCTTTATTTTGGTGAAATATATATATATATATATATAATTCTTTAAAATATTGTATTTCTTTTTTTTTTTATTGTATTACTATTTTTATTATTTATCGTAATAGACATTTTTTCTCAAAAAGACACTGAAGAAGTTTGGAATAGATATTAAAAAATTATTACTAAAAAAAAGAATCTTTTAAGAATGTAATCGCTATGAATGGATAAATTAGTTCGTGGAATTCATATACAGATTTGTTTCTTATAAATTGATGTTTTCCATGTGATGTTTATAAATATTATTTATTATTAATTTATTATTATATATTATTTTATATTATTATTTGTTACATTTAACATTATATTAAATAGAAACAGAGATTTTTGAATCTTTGTGAAGCATTAAAAAATTGTTTGTGTTTTGTGTTTTGTGTGTGTTTGTATATCACTGAAATAATAAGTCAGCAATAACTGGTCGATGATCACTAATATATAATCCATCATCATAAAGATTTGGCATAACCCCATGATTTAAAACTTTGACAAATTTCTTTTTCAATAAAGCATTATCATTAATTAAAATGAAATCAATTCTAATTGGTTTAACATCTGGTGAAAATCCTGTGAATGTGTTGGAATGACCAAAAGAAATTGCATGAGGTCGCATAATTTCATATCGACTATCACTGAATAATTCCTCTTTTTTTAAAGATTTATCAATATATTTTTCTCCTGTAAGTAATTGGTAAGGTTTATCCTTTTCTTCACAATTGAAATCGCCGGTAAGAATTAATGTTTCAGAATCAGATTCCAATAAATCATGAGAATTTTTCATTATTAATTTTGCACTTTCTTCTCTTGCGATACGTCCCTCATTATCAAAGTGAGTATTGAACCACCAAAAGATTGAATTTGTCAACAAATCTTGAAATCTATTTTTTAAATAATACTTTAATGTCACTCAAATTTCACTCTTAAAATGATATGCAATTTAAAAAAAAAAAATCATTTTAAACCTTGCTTGAGTTACAATTCCTTTCATATTAAAAGATTTTTCAATAAAAAAATAAAAATAAAGAATGAATAAAGAATGAATAAAGAATGAATATAATGAATAATAAAATCACTTACGAGGTAAGATCGCATCCCAACCTACGCTGCCTGGAACATCTGGAGTCTAAAAAAGAAATATGATCATTTAAGAAATTAAATTACTTTGAAAATTTTACTTCAAAAATTGAATCCACTTACTTCGGATAGCCAAATATTCATTGATTCTAAAAGTTTTAACCGTTTACTAAATAGAAATTATAATAATAAATTATTATAATTGTTATTATTATTATTATTATTATTATTATTATTATTATTATTATTATTATTATTATTATTGCCATTATTTGAAAACATAATTTAATTAATAATAATATTATTATATAAAAAAAATGATAATTATAAATACTTTCTATAAAAAATCGGTACAAATTCTCCTAAAAGTTATTCAATTTTTTAATAATTTAAAATTTTTTTTTGTAAAATTGGTTTATTTTAAATAATTGTATCGTACAAAATAAAACAATAACAACGAACCCTTATCCTTTCCATCATCACGTCCTACACCAACCCAATCCCAATCTTCTCCAAGTAAAACTGTCAAATCTTGAACTTGATTAACCAGAACTTCCTATATTAATAAATTAAAATATTAAATGAATTTAATGAATTCATTTGTTAATTGGTAATAAAAAATAAAAAAAATAAATAAATAACCTGTAATCCTATAATATCTATTTTATGAAAAAGAATAGCGTCAGCAAGTTTTCTTCTTCTTAGATACCAAGGTGCTTCACCTTTAAAACTAGTTGTATTAATAGTTTCATTTAAGTTTAATGCAGGTAATGCAGGGAAACCACCACCCATAGAATCATAACGAATATTAAAAGTAGAAATTCGAAGCGAATTTGCTACATTCATTTTTTATTTAATTATAAGATTAATTCAAAATCTCAAAAAAAAGAAAAAAAGAACTTTTACACGCTTTACATCTTACATTATTACGTTGATCCATAATTAAGTAATTGAGATGATCGATATAGAAATGACCAAAATTATCCAAACCCTTAATTCACAGGTTTTTTTAACTTGTGCCTACACATGTTAAATGTATGCATTTTGTGTATTAATTCCAAAGATAGAAAAGTTAGAGATTAATCAAGACTTTAGTGGTACTAGTAACACGCGGTTATACAACACGAGTAAATTCAAAAAAAAACAAAAAAAAAATTCTCTATCGCTTTATATACCTCGCTTATCTCATTTATTCCACTTTTATTACTTTCATTACTTTCATTATAAATTAAATATCATTCCAATTATATTTTCTAATTTAAATACATATTAAAGAAAAAAAAATGTCAATAGAGAATTACGAGAGTGATTCGGATGAATTTGAACAAGTTATAACTCTAAAAAAAGCAAAAGAATTATTGAAGAGTCCACGTTCTCGTCAAATTATTACACTTGCAAGTTGTGGTAAAAAAGTTGGTGTTTGTGAAGTAGGGGACCCGGAAGGGTTTCCAGTTCTTTGGTTTACAGGTAAATATTTTTTGTTTTTTTTTTCAAATTACTATTAAAATATTTTTTAGACGAAATGCTGCATATACAAATAACACACACACACACACACACACATATATATATGTATACACACACACATATATATATTCATAAATACAATTAAATATCTTTTATATTTAATAAATTTAGGAAACATGGGACCAGCAATGTCAACATTATTATATCATAAAGTAGCCAAGAAACATAAAATTAGATTAATTTCAGTTGATAGACCAGGATATAATGATAGTGATGATATTTATTCACAACCTGGTGTTCCTGATTTATTTGAATTTGCTGATATGATTAATGAATTAACTTTAATATTAAAAATGTGGCAATTTGGATTTATGACATTTTCATTGGGAGCAGTTTATGGATTAGCATATTCTCTTAATTTTCCTGAAAGAATTAAAGGTCCAATATTTTTAATTAGTCCTTGGTTATCTACTAGTACACCTGGTCATTTGAAATATTACAAAGGTTGGTATTTTTATTATATTTATTATTATTTTTATTATTATATTTATTATTATATTTTATTATATATTTTATTATATTTTATAAAGGTATAGCAAAATTTGCTCCAAATTTTCTTATACGTACAACACTTAGTACTTTACCACATATGAGTAATTTCTTTAACATGTGGAGTTTGGGATCATCATCACTATTTTCATCCTCATCTTTTGATGATGACAGAGAATCAGATAACAGTAATGATGATAATGAAGAAGATTTAATTTTTTCAATATCATCAGGTCGAAGATATATACATAAAGAAATTTATGCAAATGGACTTTGGAATCTACAAAATAGAACAGGTGCACATATTGATGCAATGGTGGCATTGGAGAAAATTGATTGGGGTTTTCGTTATGAAGATACAACTTATCCAATTCAAGCTTATGTAGGAGATGAAGATGATAATGTACCATTACAAGCTTGGTTATATATGAGTAATAAAATGAATAATGTTAATTTAAATATTATTAAAGGAAGTGGTCATTATTTATTATATAGAATGGATTTTATGGAAGAATTATTTACAGACATTAAAAAAGCTGTTGATTTAGAAGATAATTTACTATATAATATCAATATTAATGATTAAATATAGTAATGATTTCTAAATTATTTATTAAAAATAGATTTTTTTTTGATTTATTATAAATTATAGATAGATTTTTTAATTTGTTGATTATTATTATCATTATCATTATTATCATTATCATTATCATTATTATTATTATCATTATCATCATCATCATCATCATCATCATCATTATTATTATTATAATTATTATTATTGATATGATTAGTTTTATTGTTGTTATTATTATTATTATTTTACAAATTGTATTTTTGTTACTTTAAATTCATATTTATCCATTTTTTTTTTTGAAAAAATCTAATAATAAAATACGAAAAAGGATCACATCATACCTGGCCCTTTAATGGCGAAATTATTATTTAATTCTTCAGGAAGGTGATGAAAGTGTTACTACTAAAACAGCTGAAGGAACTAGATCTATATTTGAAAGTAAAAAAAAAAAAAAAAGTAGAATAATGATTACAATAATTATTAATAATTATAATATAAATAAATGTTTTAAATACCTAATTCTTTTAGAGACTTTTCCATATCAGAATCTCCAAACATTTTCCTGTAATATCAAATAATGATTCACAAACATGAAAAATAAAATATATACTGTATATATATATATATATATATGTATGTCTAAATATTTTAAATATTTTAAAAATACCTTGGAAATGTTGTCATAAAATTAAAAGATTCAGAGACGTGTTGACTAACGTGATCATATACGATTTGTAAAGTATCAGTGGATTGAAAAGTATGAGTAATAGGTGAGCCGGAAGGTAGTCGAATCTTTTTTTTTTAAAAAAAATTTATATTTTTTGTTTTAGCCCAATAAATTATATAAACATGCGATGTATAATGATATCAATATATATAAATAAATAATAAACCTGTAATCGAGCTTCAGAATATTCTTTTGATACATTTGCTGCTGCTGCCGCTTCTGCAATAGCTATTTCTTGTTGATGTTGTAAATTTGCTTGCTTTGATGCTTCACGCTACAATAAATTCATTACAAATAATTACATTACATGTTAATAATAAATCGCCAACATTAAATTTTTTTATTAATATTTACCTTAGCTGCACGTTCTTTCTTATCTGCTTCAATTTGTGCCTTTATTTTAGCTTTAGCAAGTCTTTCTTCTTCCTTTTCCTTCTTTTTTGCTATTAATGCCTTTTGCATCTCTTTCTCTTCAAGTTTAGCTTTTATTTCTGATAATTCTTGACCAGTCTTTCTACGAACTTTTTCTCGACTCTTTGCTTCTTCCTTTTCTTGAATTAAACGTAACTCTCGTTTTTCGGCTAAAACCCTTTTCAATTCCTCTTTTTTTGCAGCTTTCTCTTCTTCCGTCAATGGTTTAATGGCCGTTGTTGATTCAGAAAAGTTAACATGTCCTATTTATCATTATTATTATTATTATTATTATTATTAATTAATTAATTAATTAATTAATTATCCATTATCAATTATTGTCAATATTCGTCAATTCAATTGTTTGTCCTCATTAAAATAATTATAAAACTTTAGAAATTTACCAGATTTAATTGCATGACGTTCCGCGGAATTTGCTATTAAAAAATTAAAAAAAAGAATTCATATTAAAATATTTAATATATTTTGATATTAGATTATTATATATTTGTAAAGTAAGATCAAAAATGAATTATTCTTTACCATCACGAAATAATTTCTGACAATCTTCACACACTAAAGATTGAGCTGTTTGGTCTTCTGCTCGAATTTCTCCTTCTAAATAAATAAATAAATAAAAATACATAAATTATCATGATTTAAATTATTTGATTTAAAAATGTATGAGATCATTGATCAATATTTTTTTAATATCAAATTTACCTTCAGCACTTTTTAAAGACGAAGAGGCTTCAACTATTTCCTCTCCACTTGGATTTTCTCCCAACTTGGCTCCTCCCTCTGGTTCATCATTATCACCAGGATGTGCTATCAACCTGATATATATTTATTATATAATATATATATATATAATTATATAATCATTCGTAATTAATCATTTTATGAAATAATTTATTATATCTTTAAATAATCGAATAATGAAATAAGATCAAAATATATCTTTAACTTACCAATCCATAGCTGGTTGTAAGCCCGCATTTTTAACAGCTTTTAAGGCACGGGTCCTTAAATTATGTATATATAATTATCACTGAATAATGTGTATAATTAGAACTGTGTAAAATCAGTTTACTTACACCTTATCGGGAGAGAAGCCCATATCAACTAATGTATCATAGTCAGATTTAGTAGTCATATTTGCCTTTAATGACTGATGAAGTGGTTAAAGTACTATCTCTTGATCCGTAACACGGATTTACTTATATGTTTCGCGAGATTTTTTACGCCAATCAGATCACACGCAGTCAACGAACTTTCGAGTCTACCTAATTGCGTATGAGGCTGCAGGATCTGATCATTTTTTCCTCATTTATTATTTATTTTTTTTTATTACAACTCCTTGTTTCAAAAAAAAAAATATTTACTTTTACTGGCAAAACGGAAAATTTTTTAACTTTCGACCAAATCATATGAATTAATTTTGGACAGAATTTACATAATAAGGATCGATTTTCTACTAAGATATATTTCTCATGCTGAACTTTACAATTGGTGGTGGTGGGTTAAAAATATAAATAATCATTCTTAGCATTAATATTCATCTAAAGACATTTGTTAAAAATACCAAAAGTTCAACTATTTTTAATACGTGACAAAAAAAATTTATGGATCAAGAATTGATCGACAATTTAAAACTTAAATGCATGTCATACGATGTTATTCACGTGATTACCAAAATTACTTTATTGCATCGCGCATACATACATCGAATATATTTTTTATTCTCTCTAAGAGAAGGTTTTCAACATTCAAATAAAAATATAAAAATAAATTCATTAGTTTCTTACCTATTATTATATATTGAACTTTTTAAAATATGGAAGTTTCTAATTCTGTTGTAACCGAACCTTCTAGTTCCTTTAAAAAACCGAGACATCGTTACATGTCTGTGAGCTTTAGTTTACAAAATGACGCCGAATCTTCAAGCGCCAATTTAGTTGGACTGCTTGATGATTCCGTTATTAGTGGTGTTAATAAATACCATAATAATAATAATAATAATAATAATAATAATAATAATGTCGATGCAATTTTGACGGAAAGTCATTTAGGAGAATCAAATGATACCGATCCCTTTCTTTTGGTGTCATTAAGAAATCAAAGAAGACCACCTCCACGACCTAAATATGTATTTTTATTATATTTAATAGCCCTTTTAGATTTGGCTATTGTTTGTACTTGTACTATATTTTTAGTTCATAATGAAAATACGGAACGTTGGCATTGGAAAAAGGCAGAATGGGGATTGTTGATATTAGGATTTTTAAGATTTTTTGTGGTTTTAGGAGTTGCATCTTCTGTTTGGATCAAAGAAATGAGATGGGTATTAGCTGGAGCATGTTGTGTAAGTAGTTCTTTTTTTTAAAAATATATATATATATATATATATTATTATTATTATTATTATTAATATATCAAATATAATAAACTGATATTAACTTTTTTTTATAAATTCTTTAGTTATCCTCATTATATATAATATTCAAATCAAATCTCAATTTTCAACATAAAAGACAAACTCAAGAGTATACACTTATTTTACTCATATCATCCTTTTTCTTCAGTCAAATACATTGGATTGCTAATGTCATTATAACTAGTGATGCTCGACGTCGTGCTTTATTCTTACGCGATAGTAGCATATTTTTTGAGGAAGATAATGAAATAATTATTCCCGGAAATGAAACAATCATTCCTGGAAATGATATTGTTACTTCCTCTTCCCCTTCATCTTATGGTGCAACTGATAATAACGAAAATACTTTTCTCAATTAAAACCAAGATCGACTAAAAAAAATTAGTTACAATTTGTAAATATATATAAGAATGAAATTTTTGATTTTTTTTTTTTTTAATTTAAGTATTCTTTTTTTTTTTTTATTCATTCTCTATTCATTCTTTCTACCATTTTAGAATTTTTATAATTATTATTGCATTGAATTGTAAAATAAGGAATTTTTGATAATTTTTGTCAAATGAAATTTTAATGAATTTTTATATTTGTTTATTTATTTATTTGTACATTATAAGTTATAAATATATATGTGTATGCAATTAAAATATATTGCGTAAATCTTTTGCTAACAATAAATTATATTTAGTATAATTATATTTAAGTATAAATATTTAGTATAAATATATATAAACTATATAAATTGTAATTCCATATCAATTAAAGACATCAGAATATATATATTATTTAACTTTTTTTATCTTCTGGGTATTCCTTTTTTGGTCCATCGTAAGCTAAAGAAATAATAATTAATTAAAATAATTAAAATAATAATTAAAAATAATTGGGATAAATAATAATAATTAAATAAACTAAAATAATTAATTTAACAAACCTGGTGGTGCCTCATCCATATAAAATCCTCCGGCAAAACCAGATGGTGGAGCAAAATTTTGTTGTTGTTGTTGAGGCGGTGGTGATGTTGTTGGCTGATATCCATATTGCTGTTGTTGTGGTGACGATGATGGTTGATATCCATATGGTGGTTGTTGTGATGGTGGCGGTGGCGGTGGTGACTGCGTTGGTTGATATCCATAAGGTGGTTGTCCAGGATTATAAAATTGCTGTTGATATTGATTGAAAGGTGGTTGAGATTGATATCCCATTGCGTATTGAGGCTGATAAATATATGCGCCACCACCCATTGGATTCGCTGGATTCGCTGGATTCGCTGGATTCGCTGGATTCGCTGGGTTCGCTGGATCGCTTTCATTAGAATTAGTATTAATAGACCGACGTCCTGGGTCTGATAATTGATCGGTGTTAATCGGTGCACTAAATTTTAATTCTGAAAGTTGATTCTTTATACTAGAAATTTCATCTTCCAATTTTCCAACTTTATCTTCTTTTTGATCAATTGTGGTGGCTTTGGATTTAAGTGTTTCTTCTAAATCTTTTACTACATTACTTAATTTATTCTTCTCTGTTGCAACACTATTAATATTTTCTTGTAATTTCGAAATAATGGAATCACGTTCTTTTAATGCAGCTTCGTATTCTTGATTTGTTGTCATCAAGATATTATATTGTTTAAGTTGGGATTCATATTTTTCTTTTTGAGAGGTCAATGCTTCATTAAGTTCATTAATTTTCTGCTCTGCCGTCTCTTTCTCTTTGGATAAAGCAGATGATAAGTCATTTAGCTGTGCTTCAAACCCTCCTTTTTGAGATGTCAATTCTGTCATAAATTCATTAACTCTAGTCTCGTATGCTTCTTTTTGTTCGTTTAATTTTTCGTTATATTTATTAATTTGGGAATCATGCGTTTCCTTTAAAGTATTCATTGAAACTGTAAGCTGATTTAATTTTGCTTCATATTCTTGTTTTTGAGCAGCTAAAGCTGCAGGAGCTGTGTTAGTCAATGCAGGTAAAAGAGGTCTAATGCTCGATGAAGTAGGTTGCCAGCGAAGTAAAGCAACCTGACAATCTTTAATCGCTTGCTGAGTAACTTCTCCTCCTATTTTTTAAAATTGAAAAAAAATTTATTATGACAAGTCGTAAAATTATTTTTATGATTTCCAGGTTTTTTTTTTATTAACTAACCCGAATATCGTGGTCTACCCTGATTAGGCTTGTATGGTGTTTCGTCAATTTGACCCACTATATCCCATCCAAACCCTGAAATAATTGCAATTTTTTCCGAACTCTCGAATGTAGCTTCAAAAAGTAATTTCAATGCTTCTTTTAATTTCTTTCTTATAGTATTTCCTACTTCTACTTCAATAGAAGCGGATTCCTTATTCACATGCACAAGATCAGCTTCCAATTCTGGGATGCGAGGTGATTTAGGATGAGATTTCTGAATTTTTTGTATTTCTTCATTTATTTTTCGTTTACGTTCTCTCGAAGGAATAAGAGATTCCTCAGCTGTGCGAATTTCCTTGAGAAGATTTCGATAATGTGCATATTTTTCTATTTTGTAACAGAAAAAAAATTATGAATCATTGAATCAGTTATTTTTTTTTTTTTGTGTCAAGAACCCTTTTTAAAGTATTTACCTGTAAAAACTTGTTCTGTATCAGAAATTTTTGCTGTCAAATCGGATAACTTCTCGGTAATATCCTAAGATCAGAAAAAAAAAATTGGTTTTAAAACAAAAAAAAAATCAAATTTTCATTTGAAATAATATTTGGAGGTTTAGAATTTACAGTAAGGTCTTCTCCCATTTCCTTGCCCCAAATTTGAAGAAGTACGCTTGCTATAAAAATAAAATAAATAAATTATTGGAATTCGAAATAAAATAAAATAAAATGAAAATAAAATTTTGAAATAAAATAAAAATATTTATTTATAATATTTATTAAAAATTTTATTTGAGAAATAATATTTTGTAGGGCTTGCATACTAACCTTCCTTCTTTTCCGAAGCCGCATTTTGCAAACTTGTCAGTACATTCCTCTCTTCTTTTACGAGTAAAGTAATGTTCCTTATCTCTTTAGGTAACCTGGGATCAACTTGAGTCAAATTACGACGAACGCCATGACTTATATTGTCCAAATTAAAGCTTTTAAACGAGTCTATTATAGAGCCCTGTCTCTCGTTAGAATTTGTCGGAATTTGTAGATTGCTCATAATTCTATTCAAGAATTTATTAATTTATTACTGCGATGATGTACGTACTAAAAAAACTTTTTCTACTTGCAGATTCGTGTGTCATGTGATCAAACTTTTTTATTTTGTTCTTTTGAATCTTTGCAAGAACGATTAGCGAAAAAGAATCATGAAATAATATAAATAATAGAAATGGATCACGCCATAAGTATCAACAGCTAATTATAGAAAAGTATTCTTTTATTTAAAACCTGTTGTTTAAATATTTTAATATGATATTTTACACATGACAATATGACAATAAAGAATTAAGATCTAGTAAACGAACTTCCTTCACCATTATTATCGCTATCTTTGTCAGAATTTGGAGGCAAGGTTCCAAATTTAGACATATAGACATCTTTTAAAATAGGACTGAGAATCTTTATACGTGAAAAAAATAAAATTTTTTTAAAATTCATGTGTTAAAATAAAGAAATAATAATCAATCTCTTCTTACTTTGCTTGTTACATAGCTATCACAAGAATAACACCAAGTTGAAAGATCAAAGAAAGAAATTGCCAATGAGTGATTTGTTTTTGTATAATGTTCAGTCATATGTGCATTTACATATCTAAAAAAATTCATAATTCATAAATTTAAAGGAAATAAAAAAGGGAATAAAAGGCATGGAAATTGAATTTAAATCTTTTTCTTTTATTTTACCTTGAACAAAGCACTTTAGCACATTCGATGCACCTCCAATTTTCATTGGATTCATTACAAATCTCGCAAGATTTTTTTACTTTTCCAAAAAAAAAAAATAGTGCATTATTCATAGTAAAACCATGGATAATTATTTATTGAATAATAATATTTACCATCAACAGGTTTTTGAGCCCAGATTTCAACGAATTCTGACTTAATATGAGGGCAATCTGTTTTGGGAGTAATTGAAAAAATTTCTCTTGGTTCGTTCGTATTTTCCGTATTTTCCGTATTTTCCATTGTATTTCCCATTACATGAACAAGTAGAAATTAGAAATATCAACCACCAAAACAAGTTTTATCATACGACCTGAATGAATTGAATATAATTGGCTATCACGAATATTTGTTTATTTTTCTTACATAACATTCTTTTCTTTGGTGAGTTAGTATCTTTGGTGTGCTAAATGTGTTGTAACAAAAAAAGATAAACCTATGTTGCTTTTTAAACTTTTACCATTAGGTGTTTTTAGTTAACACACTTTCGATGCTGAAACAGAAAGGATAATAAATTCAAATATTGTACGATAGTAAAAAAATGATTCGTCGAAATCCAACGCGTATAGAAATTCGTCAAGAAGACGTTGAACATCTTCAAACGCTTCGTCAAGAATATAAGAAAAAACTTTCCCAAAAACCTGTTTCCAGTGGCAAGGGTAAAAGAAAAAGTATGGAAGTTGAGGAAGATATTGAACAGAATGTATTTCAAACTGAACAACCTAGAGTAGAAAAACAAGAAACTATAGTGGGTACAGAAGAACTTCGAAATAGGAAAAAGAATTTGTAAGTTTTGATCATAATTTATTTTTTATTGAATTGTATTAAAATCGAATCATATTGAAATCATATTGTATTCACGTTTTATAATAGGACTATAGAAGAAAGAATTGGATTATAACGCGACAAACGTTTTATAGTACCATAATTTATTCTTAAAAAAAAAAAAAATTGAAAAATCAATAATAAATTTTCATAAATTAATTCTAAATGCACAATAAATCAAAATATTATACATCTTTATTATTGCGTATTTTTTTTCATCTATTCTGTATCTTCAAATTCTACCAAGACTTCGTCTGCAGCTACCGCGTCTCCTGGTTTAACATTTATCTTCTTCACTTTACCTACACGGACTGAACGTAATACGTTTTGCATTTTCATGGCTTCTACTACAGCAATTTCAGCTCCTTGACTAACCTTCAAAATTATTATGAAATTTAATAATAAGAATTATTATTATTATATTATTTTATATCAAGAGTAAAGAAAAATTAATATTTAAATATGATAAATTTAATTACCACATCACCAACTGTAACTGCCAAGCTTACAACACGACCAGGCATAGGACTTAATATCATCTTGGAGAAATCGGGTTTAGGTTTTTCAATCATATATTTACTCAATTCATGTTGCCTTGCAGTATGAACTGTAATGTCAAATTTTGTTCCCACATATCGAAGTCGGAAACCAACTGGTAGTGGATCCAAATATTGAACAGTAACAGTTTTTTTCTTTTGATTTAGATCAGAGATATGTGCATTAATCAAAGGTGTTTCTAATGGCCATTCAGTTGTTATAACTTTTTGTCCATTCCCGGTTGTAACCTTTTTATATTAATGATTTAATAAATTAATATAGATTAATATAGAAAATAATTATAATTAATATATTGGTAATAATTTTAAGGATTCAACTAATATATTTACCAAAAATTCATTTTTGTTTTGCTTTTCCACTTTTACATTAATTGGTGAGAAATCTTTGTTAACATTCACGTAAAGATCCCATTTATTTGGAATCTTTTCATTCAATTCACCCTTGGACAGGGATTCTTTTCCAGTAATCCAATTCCAATTTCTTAAATCTCTTTTGGCATAAACTAATGCAGCGATAGAGACAAGTTCATGCAATGATTCTTCTTTAAGGGTAGCCCCTTTAAATCCATCAGGATATTCTTCTGCAAGAAACTTTGTAGAAATCTTTCCTGAACCAAATCTTTCACTTCCAATAACATCACGTAATAATGGAATATTATGTGTAACACCTAATAAAAAAGTTAAAGAAAGTGGTATTTTAATCATACAATTCATAAAATTTTTCTATATTGATCCTATATTGACCTTTAATAATGTAAGAATCCAAAGCCCTCAGCATTGATTGAATAGCCTTATCTCTAGTTTCTCCATAAGTGGAGAGTTTGCAAATCAGAGGATCATAATATATACTGATGTCACTTCCTTCAACAACTCCCGAATCACAACGAACTTCATTTTTGTCAGTAAAACCAATTGGTTCGATATATTTGCTTAAACTACCAATAGACGGTAAATATTTTTCAGGATCTTCCGCATACACTCGTGATTCAATAGCCCATCCATGAAATTTGAGATCATCTTGAGTAAAAGTCAATTTTTGGTTGGCTGCTATACGAATCATTTGTTCAACCAAATCAAGTCCTGTTATCCATTCTGTAATAGGATGTTCTACTTGTAAACGTGTATTCATTTCCAAGAAATAAAAGTTACGTTCAGGATCTACCAAAAATTCGACTGTCCCAGCAGATACATAACCGACACGTCTGGCTAATGCTGCAGCTTGTTCACCCATAGCTTTACGTGTAGGTGGATCTAAATGTACACTTGGCGCTTCTTCAATTACCTATAAAAAAAAAAAAAAAAGAGAAAAAATCGAAATTAAATCTTTTTTTCTCAAATTGTATAAACCTTCATAATAAAAATTTTCAATGATATTTATTTGTTTACTTTTTGATTTCTTCTTTGAATTGAGCATTCACGTTCAGGAAGATATAATGTATTTCCGAATTTATCAGCAATAAGTTGAATTTCAATGTGACGAGGATTTTCAATATATTTCTCAATTAAGAGACGGTCATCACCGAAACTTGACAGGGATTCTTGAGAAGCAATTTTGAATCCATCAATAACTTCTTGATCATTCCTTAATAATTATTTATATTAATATGAGTAAAATAATAATAATAATTTTTGAGGGGGAAATGGGGAAACTCACCAAGCAATACGCATTCCCTTACCACCACCTCCCGCAGAAGCCTTCAACATTACGGGATACCCAATAGATTTAACTAAAAAAAAATTTATGTGTTAGATTAGGAAATTAATTAAATATATATATATCTCTCTCTCTCTCTCAATATATAATATAAAAATTTAAATATATGATATTCACCAATTTCCAATGCATGATCAATATCCTTAACAACTCCATTATAACCAGGAATTGTATTAACACCAGATTCCTTAGCGATGATTTTACTTTGAATTTTATCGCCTAAATCAGCCATTGCTTTTTCTCCAGGTCCTATAAAAGTGACACCTGATTCATCCAGAACTTTCGCAAAAGTCGAATTTTCAGAAAGAAAACCATAACCTGTATATCAATAATATATCGAAGTTCAATAATATATCGAAGTTCTTAGAATAATATAAAATTTTAATTATCATTTTTATTCAATTTGAAATTATACCAGGATGAACGGCTTGTGCTCCAGTTGATTTAATCGCTTTAAGGATATTTGTAATATTGAGATAACTTTGATTTGTTGGTGGAGGTCCCTATTTATAATATTTATTTATTTATTTATTTATAATATTTTATTTTATTTTATAATATTCAATTTATTTAAGTGTCATGAATTCATATAAATAATTTCGTTTAATAAATTTTTTTTTTTTTTATACTTACAACATTAACAGCTTCATCTGCCATTTGCACATGCAGACTTCGCGCATCCGCATCCGAATAGATGGCAACTGTTTTAATGCCCATCTTTTTAGCGGTATGAATGACACGACACGCAATTTCTCCACGATTTGCAATTAAAATTTTTTCAAAAGTCTATTAATTAGATTCATAAGGTATTCAAAAAATCTCAATATTACATTTCAGGTATAGCATCTAAATTTATTATTCGCGAAGGCTCACTTCCTTTTCATTATAACTCGCATTATATGCTGTATTTGAAGAATGGAAACCTCGAGTTATTGAATGACGACTAAATATTGAACATTTTTGATTTACGAAGAGTAAGTTGGTAGCAAAGCGAGTTCCAAATCTTAGAATACATAATTGAGTAGTCATGACAATATTATGACTTTTTTTTTTTTTGCGAGATATTTAGATATTTATAGATATATTTTATTTAACACGTGTTGTCAATGTGATCAATGTATTGTCAATGTATTGTCTATGTCGTTGATCTGTTTACACAGTTATCACATCACTCCACATTTCCTTATTTATCATGTATTGTTTATTGTGATTGTAGAAATTTCCATTAACATCTTCATTATGTGATGAAGTCAAGTAATTAATTTGGCTACATTGTTTCGGGAAAAAAAACATCATTATTCTTATTATTTTTATTATTTCATTTTTTTTTCTCATTATTCCATAATGTACAAAGCAGCCAATTTTACGCGTAATTTTAGTTATCCTTTGAAAAATATTTCTTCTTTTCTTATACGCGTGTCTCCAGTTTCCAAGTCAGTATTTAGTAGACATGTTCCTTTCACTTCGGAAATTCGGATTCGTAAATACGCTTCTGGAAACACTATTGAAGAAGTAAAAAAAATTATTTTAATTCATAAATGTTTTGGCGTATATATAAAAAGGATTATATAACTTGTTTATTAGGAAATTTTGGGAAAAATCCAAGACCTTCGAGCCAAGGCTTATTTGGGAGGTGGTTTGGACAGAATTAATACTCAGCACAAAAAGGTATTATTCTTGAAGAAAGCGAATTTAAAACAATCCAACAGGAACTTGATTTTTTGCTTCATTAGGGCAAATTGACTGCACGAGAACGTATTGATTTACTCTTAGATCCTTGTTCCTTTAACGAATATGATACTTTCGTAGAACATCAATGTACCGATTTTGATATGGATAAACACAAGGTATATTAAAATTATTAAAAAAATATTTAAAAATATTTAAAAACATTTAAAAATATTTAAAATAATTAAAAATAATTAAAAATAATTAAAATCATAGAGTTTAATATACTTAAAATATATAGATAATAGGCGATGGTGTTGTGACCGGGCATGGTACAATAAATGGCCGGACAATTTTCGTGTTTTCTCAAGATTTCACTGCTTTTGGTGGTAGTCTGTCAAAAATGCATGCTCAAAAGTTATGTAAAATTATGGATATGGCCATGAAAGTAGGTGCACCTGTTATAGGGTTGAATGATTCAGGTGGTGCCCGTATCCAAGAAGGTGTTGATTCACTTGGGGGATATGCCGATATATTTCAAAGAAATGTTTTATCATCTGGTGTTATCCCTCAAATATCTTTAATTATGGGTCCATGCGCTGGTAAAATAAATAACATTTTATTTATGTTTATATTTTACTTTTCACATTTTTCAATTTAATTTAATTTTTCATAATTTAGGTGGTGCTGTATATTCTCCAGCTCTTACTGACTTTACATTTATGGTTCGTGACACATCATACTTATTTGTTACGGGTCCTGAAGTTGTCAAGACGGTGACAAATGAAGATGTCACACAAGAAGAACTCGGTGGTGCAAACCCTCATACTGTTAAATCTGGTGTGTATTCTCTCAACCCTGTAAAACTGTTCAGCCTCTTTCGTTATAATAAAATCTTTATGCCTTTTTTTTCATGTATAAAGGAGTTGCACATTATGCCTTTGAGAATGATATTGAGGCACTTCAACGGTAATTGATAAAGATTATAATTTTGTTTTTTTTACATATTATAATTTACTAATTAATTTAATATTTTGTTTAAAGTGTTCGCGACTTTGTGGATTTTCTTCCTCTTTCAAACCGGGAAAAAGCACCAATTCGTTATACTGATGATTCTCCAACTCGTGAAGATCCAGCACTTAATCATATTATTCCTGTGGACTCAACAAAGGCATATGATATGCGTGATGTAATTACACGTATTGTAGATGATGGGAATTTTTTTGAAATTATGCCAGATTATGCCAAAAACATAATTATTGGATTTTCGCGTTTAGAAGGGCAGTCTATAGCCATTGTTGGAAATCAACCAATGGTATCTTCGGGAGTATTAGATATTAATGCTTCAGTGAAAGCAGCCAGATTTGTAAGATTCTGTGATGCCTTTAATATTCCTATTATTACATTGGTTGATGTACCTGGATTTCTTCCTGGTACAGCACAAGAACATAATGGTATCATTCGTCATGGAGCAAAACTACTATATGCATATGCAGAGGTAACTCAAATAAGAAAAAATAAGAAATGATTAATAGGAAATAAATTTAAATTTCTTTTCTTTATTCGTTTTAATTTCTTTCTTTACTCATTTCAGGCTACAGTTCCTAAAATCACTGTAATTACTAGAAAAGCATATGGCGGAGCATATGATGTCATGTCAAGTAAACATCTTCGCGGTGATGTACGTACATTTAATATTAAATATTTAGTAAAATTATAATTAAATTATTTTATTTATTTCTTAGTTTAATTATGCGTGGCCAACTGGTGAAATTGCCGTAATGGGTGCTAAGGTAAAAAAAAAATGATCACCATCTATTCTTTTTTATACAAAATTAATCATTTTGAATACTTGGAACATTTTAGGGTGCTGTAGAGATTATATTTAGACATGTTTCTGATAGAACCCAAGCAGAAAAAGAATATATAGGTAAAATATTAATTAATTTATTTATTAAATTTATTAAATTTATTATATTCTTATAAATAATGTAACTTACAATATTTTTCATTTGCCAACAATTAATTCACAATAATCACAATAATCAGATAAAGTATAATAAATTATTTTTTAATGTGATTGTAAATTTCATTTGACCATTTATATCTAACGATATATTTAATATATTTAATGATATAACGGTATATTCTATAGTTCGCTAACCCATTACCTGCAGCACAACGCGGGTAAGTTTCTCGATATCATTTAATATTTTGAAATATTTTATTATTATATTTTATTATATTTTATTATATTTTGTTTTTGTGTTTCCTTTTTTTATCATAGTTTCTTGGACGATATCATTTTACCGGCTGTAACGCGAAAAAGAATCATACAAGATTTGAGAGTGCTCAGATCTAAAGAATTGCCGATCATCCAAAAAAAACATGATAATTGTCCATTATAAATTTTATATCATAATTTAGTTAGGCACAAAAATATTCTTGCGGAATTCAATTTTTATCAGAATTATATTACAAAGTACGAGCTTCACTCAAAAAATGAAAATAAATAATTTATTTCTGTATTTAAGTTTGAAGATGTTCTTTAGTTTTGAATTTAGGAATATCAATGTATCAGTTCTTAAAGGGTAAAGTTAACACCAACTAACGTCTACAATTAAACCTATATATTCCTAATCAAACATCACATTTCTGATCATGCCCAATAAGGAAATATATGTGTTCTGCAAGGATCATGAAGGTCCCAGGGGGTAGGTCTCAGCACCGGCATAAACCAGCTCTTTAGATGTAACGGTAAGATAGCGAAGTAGTATATTGCAAGTACCATTGATATCCCGATCAAGCTCAGCTGTACAACTTGAGCAACAAAACACTTTGGATCCATCCAATTTTCGATGGATATGATCACAGCACCCACATGTCTTACTAGTATATTCTTCAGTACATATAATTACCCGACACCATGGATATTCATGAAGATATTGGCAGAATCGAAAGTGGGACCATGTTAACATCATCTGTACAGTCTTAGAACGAATCCGCCATTTTCTACACCTAACCATTCCCTGTGTTTTAAACTCGGGAAACAAAATAATACGATAATTTTGACACATCCATTTGGCAAGTTTATGGTGACAATCATTAATAAGACAATGGATTTTTTATGTATACGAAGCATGACCCTGCAAAGTTTATAGCATTTTCGTTTGTGTACTTTTCCATGAATAGAGTCATGTGTGCTTTGAATCTTGTCATATATGTGAGAAAGCTGATAAATTCTACTAATATCATTTTTGCCCCATTCTACAGCTTGTCCACTTGGATCGTATCCAGTTATAAATGTTCGTACACCTGGATCTAGAGTGATCACTGCATCTGATTGTGGTTGAGGAATACAAAAATAAAATTCTCCAAGCCGATTTATCACAAGTCATGCATCGTAATGGAGTTCTGCTGGGAGATTTTTGGCTGACTTCATCTTACAAAGAAATGTATAAACTCCTTTAGATTTACCCCAATGTTTTGATAGAATTGCAATAAATTGTTGTTGATCTTTTTTAGAGCAAAATTTCTTCCGTTTTGTAGTAAAATTTGATGAATATGATTTAAGTAAATCATTCATCGCTTCATCACGAATATCGTAAAGAGTTTCAAGGACCCATTGAAGTTCGGTATTATTGAAGTTTGTGGTGTTGAGACACTGTACTCGTAAAGCTTTTTTTGTCCACTCGATACCCTCTTTTTCAACTGCTACGAGACACCGATTGTAAGTCCTTCACGCTGTTCCCATCTAGCATTTGAGTTTCGACTTCTCCTCTTGTGTAGGAAAGAGACGGATACATTGTGTCTTGCCTATACTTGCACACAAAATTATTTTGGGGTCCCGAAATTTAATTTCAGAGAAAAAAGTCAAAATAGTTTTTCATAGAAGACAAAATTATTTTACTTAAAACCCAAAATTTTTTAACTACCCAGATTTATTCTTTGATTGAATATACACATAACTGGGTACTTTTTTTACTTCCATATATAAAATAGATTCTGCATAAATCTCAAAAAGTAAAAATACCTCAAAAATCCAAAATCAATTTTGAAAACATGTATAGTCTTATTTTCCAAAAATTGAAGAAGCACTAGTAATTTGAATTGATTTTACAAATAGAAATAATCATACAATATTGGAAACTATTATACAAAAAAGTTAAAAATTATAAATTTTACTGTATCTTTGGTAAATATTATATTTATTTTTTTTTTAATATTATTAATTTTATTATATTAATAATATTTATATTTTAATTAAGGATGGTTATCAAATTTTAAAAAAAGAAATAATATTAAAGAACATTATAAAGTAGGAGAAGCAGCAAGTATCCTTATTGAAAATTTGTCAGAATTTAGATCTAAATTACAAGTTTTAATTTTACAATATGAATTGGATAATGTATATAATGCTGATGAAACAGGACTCTATTGAAAATTAGAATTTAATAAATTATTTGCTACTGGACCTATAACTGGAACTAAAAAATTAAAAGATAAAGTAACAATAATACTTACATGTAATACAACAGATATTTACAAATTGTCACCTGTATTTATTCACAAATACAAAATGTCACATTGTCTTAAAAATATAAATAAAATATTACTTCCTGTTAAGTATTATTGGAATAATTCTACTTGAATGCAAAAATCAATATTTCAATGATGGATAAAACAATTCAATCAAAAAATATAACTTCAAAAAAGAAAATTTTTGTTTTTAATTGATAATGTATTATCTCATAAATTAAAAAAAAATAAAATATTAAGTAATATTACTTTATATTTTCTTCTACCAAATACAACTTCACATATTTAACCAATTGATCAAAACATTATTCATTCATTCAAAATATATATTTATTATTAAAATTTGTATTTATATTAATTTTCAAATAAATAAATTATTTATTTTTATTTATTACATCAGGGAATTTTTAAGGGCGGATAACTCCGTAAGTTTTCGGGATGTAAAATTTCCATAAATTTTTGTATAAATTTCTGTAAATTTTCGTAAATCTTCAAAATTTTTTGATGTAAAATTTTGTGAAAATTTTTGCAGAAATTTTCAAAATTTTTTTACATCAAAAAATTTCATTAATTTTTATAGAATATTATGAAAAGTTTTTCGTAAATTTTCAAAATTTTTATTACACAAAATATCATGAAAAATGTAATATTCCATTTTAATAGACTAAATATATAACACAAAATGATTTTGTTTATTTACCTAAATGATCTTGTTTATCTTGTTTCGAACTTTTTCAAAAACTATTCATGAAATTTTAGAAA